CACACACACACACACACACACACACACACATTCATTCACAGGAGGGTTTTTCTAAAGAGCCTGCCCCTACTCACATGCTCTCCACCCCTGCCCCCGTCTCCTCAGGACAAAGCCAGATCCTCTAGGTCTGGAATTCAAGGTTCCACCCACTATTCTCCACCAGACCTCCCCTTCAAGAACTCAAATCCTGCCACAGTTCCCCCAAACTCCAAGAACTATTATTGCCTTGCTTCCACTCCCCCTGCCCCCACCCTTTGCAGGAGTCATCCAGCTGCTGTGGAGAATGCCCTTCCCCCTCCTTGTCCTGGCAGAGGTTCTCGTGAGGGGTCAGGGGTTGGCGCAGACGCTATTTCCTGGTGGGGGAGGAGGGGGCCACAGCCAAGTCCTGCTTCCGCTGGCCCCCTCCCTTCCTTCCCTGGCTCTTCCCTGGGGCCCTAGCCTCACGTTCTTTGGCTGGCTCTGGTCCACCCTCCCCGTCTCCAGCCTCTGACACACGCTTCACTCACTCCTGCCCACCAGGGTGGGTCACCCTTTGCCGTTTTTCACAGACTGAGGGTCCTAAGCTCCCATTGCTGACCTGAACCAATGCAGTCACCTTAACACTGATCCCTGGCTCCCACTTTCATCCCCAACTATGACCAGAGGGCGCCAACACCGGAGTCAGGTCACATCCTCCTCTGCTGACAGCCCACCCCAAGGCTCCCAGTTTCCTTACCACAGCCACAAAGCCCTGCCTGATCTGTCCCCTTGTCACCTCTTTGGTCTCAACTCCTCTCCCTCTCCAATCATTAGGCTCCAGCCATATCAGCCTCCTCGCTCAAACTCACCAGGCATGGTTCTGTCTCAGGGCCTTTGCATAGACTGTGCTCTCTGCCTGGTACACACTTCCCAGCAATGTCCTCCCTCCCATGGCTCCCCCTCACCTCCCTTAGTTCTCTGCTCAAATGTCACCTCAGGGAAGCCTGCCCTGGTCCCCTGTGGAAAATTCTAACTTTCCCACACTTCCTCATCCCTTTTCTGTCTTGCCCATCACCAAGGGGCCATATAATGACTCATTCGTCTGGTTTATTCTCTGTCTCCCCACAAGACTGTGAACTCCACAGGGCATGAGTTTCTGTACCTTACTCCTGCCTGTGTCCTGGGCACCCAGCTGTGGCTCAAGAAATATGGGTTGAATGAACAAACAAGTCATAACTGTGATAGCAACAAACTTGAGCAATGCTTGCTGTGTGCCTGGCTCAGAGACAGGATGCAATTCCCATCTTCAACCTTCCACATCCTGACTTTTCTGTGTCCAGCCACATAATCCCTAAACCAATATTTAATTAAAATTTGTCTTTATCTCAATTATGTTTTTAAAAATTAATTAAATTGGCCTGGGCGGTTTGGCTCAGTGGTTGGAGCTTCAGCCCACAGACTAAAGGGTCCTGGGTTCAAATCTGGAAAAAGGCATTGAACCTTTGTTGCAGGTTCAATCCCTGGCCCCTGTCAAGGCATGTGTGGGAGGCAACCAATTGATGTCTCTCTCTCTTTCTCTCTCTCTCTCTCTCTCTCTCTCTCTCTCTCTCTCTCTCCCCACACTTCCACTTTCTCAAACTCAATGGAAGCCCGGCCGGGCGTGGCTCAGCGGTTGAGCATCCACCTAGGATCCAGGAGATTGCAGTTCGATTCCGGGTCAGGGCACATGCCCGGGTTGCGGGCTCGATCCCCAGTTGGGGGCGTGCGGGAGGCAGCCGATTGATGACTTTCTCATCATTGATGTTTCTATCTCTCTCTCTCCCTCTCCCTTCCTCGCTCTGAAATTAATAAAGATATTTTTTTAAAAAAAATCAATGGAAAAAATGTCCTTTGATGAGGATTAACAAAAAAGAAAAAAAAAAGTGCAATTAAAAGCAAGACCTTGCCCTGGCTGGTGTGGCTCAGTTGGTTGAGTGTGTTCACATGCACCAGAAGGTCGCTGGTTCAATTACCGGGGTCGAGGCACATGCCTGGGTTTTGGGTTGGATCCCTAGTATAGGACATGCAGAAGGCAGCTGATCAATGTTTCTCACATCAAGGATTCTCTCTCTCTCCTTCACCCTTTCTAAATCAATTTAAAAAAATTTTTTTTTTAAAAAAGAAGCAAGACCTTGTGCTCAAGTCCTGGTAATGCTGGGCCCTGGGTCTGCCTTTGCTCTGTGAACATGGGAGAGCAGCACATGTGTGGGAGGCCTTAGGGCAAGTTAGCACCAGTGGAGACTTTCTCAAAGTGCAGAGGAATAAAAGTGGAAAGGAAATAAACTCCCAGATCACGGGGTGGCTGTTTTGATGCAGGACTCAGACCTCGGCCCTGATTGGGTGCATTGAAAATTTGGATGTTAGGATTCTCTGGCCAGACTCGCCTGCGGTTTCCCACTGAATGGCTGGCCCAGCTGGGACTTGAACCCAGGGCTGATGGCCCTGGCCTGCTTATCCCTGGCATGGTTCTCAAGGGAAGGATAGTTAAGGCTGAAGCCCAGCGAGCCAGAGGCCCTTCCTGCAACCCTGCCGAGTGAAGCGGGGAGGAGGGGGGGCTGTCCAGGCTTAAGAGCACATTGTTTTCTCTTCAGGGGGACGTCATTTGGGGTAAACAATGTCAAGAGCTTCCCTGTTCTCGGCTGGGACAGAGACAGCCCTGGCTCTGGCCCTGATTTGCTGACGCATGGCCCTGGGCTGGTCACTTCCCTGGGGCCTCAGTTCCCTCTCTGAGAAATGGGGATAATAATAGAACCTCCTTCCTTGCCATGATGGCTCCAGGCCAAGATGGAGAAAGGAAAACAGTTTGCTCAGAGCAGGGGCTTCTCCCTACCCTCTTGTTTCCCTCTCTGCAGGCTGCCTGAGGCTGAGGAATTTTGCCCAGGAAGAGCCTTCCAGAGTGAGGGGGCCAGTTCTTAAAGGCGTGAGCTCCCCTCGGAGGCAGAGAGGGTGTGTAAAAAGAGGTGTAGTGGAGATGGAGGCACATGTAGAGAACCCTGATTTGTTGACGGCAGATCTCTGGAAGTCTGGGCCAAGGCCTGCATTTAGCACCCTGACGCTAAAATAGACCTAGGCAGAAAATAGTCTGGTGGCACGAAGCAATTGAAGGAAGCCACAGGCTTTGGGGTGAGAGGGATGTGACTTAAAATCTTGGGTGCCTCCCTGGACCTCAGGTCCTAAACTGCAAATGGGACTGCCAATTCCCGGGTCCTAGGCCAGCAGTGTGTTATTGAAGAGGGAGTATGCACAGGGTGTTCTTGGGGTTGCGGCCTGAGTCACCTTCCCCATGATGTACCGGATGTCATTGGATGGATAACCAAGTCCCGGGAGGTGGCAAGGGGGGCAGAGGCATGGAGCCATGACCTGAGAATGTGTCAAGCGCCTTTGAGTTTCCCCACTGAGGCCCCAAGCCCCTTGCTCCAGCCATTGGTGGACAGCACTTTACAGCTGGCAAAGCATTTCCATGCCCTTGATTTCGGAGGCCCCCATTTTTGTAGAAGTGGAAAGTGAGGGGTGGATTGAGAGGCCCATGGTCACTCTCAGATGCTCTCCCTCCTTCCCTTCCTCCACTCCAGCCACCCTCCCTCACCCAAGTCCTGACCACTGGGCCTTTGCCCTGGCTGTTCATGTGGCCTGGAGCACTGCCCTCCCCAGGCTGCTTCTGCCCATCCTCCAGCTCAAAGGTGCCCTGCTCACCAAGGCTCTCCCTTGTCTGGGTTCAAGTCTCAGCTTACTCCTCTCTTGCTGTGTTACCTGGAGCATGCCGCATACCCTCTCTGTGCCTCATTCTTCATCCAGAAAGTGTGAATAACAGTAACTCACCAACTGACAGGTTGAATGAGTTAATAGTGCAATGCTTAGAACTGTGCCAAGCTCACACTAAGCACCTAAAACTTACAGGCTCTTGGTCACTGTTCTTATCATGGCTCTATCACTGTCTCTTCTGCCCACTCCTCAGGGAGTTTTGTGAATAGAACAGCATGCATCTTGGTCATTGCTGTGTCCTCAAGGCCCAGAATAGGGCCTCGTACAGAGCAGGCACTCAAGGAAGCAGTAAGTGTGAGATGAGCCTCCCTCCACCCCTAGTCCTGAGACCAAAGCACTGAGACTGAACATCTCAACCTGCCCAGTACCTCACTTGGATGGGGCTGCGTTGCCTGCAAAAGGCCGCTGGGACTCCAGGATCCTCTTCTTGAATTCCTCCAGGCTAGCTGGGTCTGCCAAGAGAGGGGATTACACCCAACCTATTGCCTTAGTAGCCCCCTTCCCTGGGCTAGGGATAGGTGGCAGCCCCCCTTCTTGGCTCTCCCTTCACTCACCGATGGGCGGGGGGTTGAGGGCAGAGCCAGCAGGTCTTGGCACAGACATCGGCTGTGACTGTGAGAAGGAGAGAGGGAAGTTAGCAGAAGTTGGGACCCCTGAATCAGAGTGCCAAGGAGATTCCTGCCCCTCCATGCCCTTGGAGACCTGGCTCTGAGGTCCTTCCAGGGTGGAGAAATGGACAGGTGCTCATGGAGGACACATATGCTAATAGATGTATAATCATCACCTGTGCCCACTTGCCCTCAAATGATTGGGGACTCCAGGGACTGGCTTTGCTTGGCAGCTCCACAGAGACCCCACTGTGCAGGGCTGGCCTGCTTCACCCTCCATTACAGCCACAGTACCAACCTGACCCCAATCTATGACCCCAACTGAGTCCATCCACCCAACCCTACCCCCCTAGACTGAAGTCAACCCACTCTGTAAACCACTCAACCCCAATTCTCAATGCCATGCCTTGAGCAACCTTAAGCCAATCCTTCCAAACCTGAAATCCAAAACCAGTTCTGAACTTAGTTACCTAAAATCCGATCCCAACATGAAAACGGAGCCTTCCTTAGAATCAAATCCAACTTAAACTCAATCCCAATGACAAATTTAATCTGCTGTAACTTTAGATCTAACTCTGACCCCAACCCATCACCTAGACCCAGCCACTATGAAAAATCCAATCCCCAACCCAGTTCCCCCAGCCCCAGGATCTACCATGGACACCTACAAACACCTTCCCAAGATAACAGTCAACTCCAACTCAACCTTAGATGCCCAGCCTCTACCTGAAACAGAACCCCACCCCAGCCCCACCCCATGATTAGCACCCACACAGCTTCTACTCTAGATCAAGCTTTGAGCCTCACCCCAACCCCAATGTATCCCCATCCTAACCCAGGGTCACCTAATCCTTCACCTCAAATATATTCCAATGTCAGCACAAATCAACTCCCTACCAGTCATCCTAAACCCAACCCAGCTTCAACCCCTAACCCATGTTCAGTGCCAATCCCTGCCCCTTCTAATGTCCATGAAATCCTAAATCCACTCTTGGCCCCAAACTTCTAATCATCTCTAGGCCCACCAGCCACCTATACCCACCTGGGCCTCAACTCCAACTTCAGTACCTCAACCCATCCCAAAGCCACTGACATACTAGATTCACTCCTCATCCAACCCTAGACCCAACAGCTGCCTTGCATACAACTCCTGACCCAACTTTTAAACCTTTCCTTATGGTCTAAACTCCAAACTCAATTCCAGATCTAAGACTAATGAGATGGAGCCCTAACCTTAACCTAAACCAACTCTAGATATGGCAGTCACCAAGAACTCACCTTGACCCAACTCTAGAACCAAATTTAACATGTCAAGCCTTTCTCTAGACCTGCCTTAACCCTCACTATAGCCCCAGTGTCACTCACAACCTTAACCCATTGCCCCTGACCCTTCAATTCAACTCAAACAATTCTCAACCCTGACACCAACCCTCAATGAATCCCTAATCTTCACCCCAAACTAATTTTGAGGCCCATCCCAATGCCCTAAACTCAACCCCAATCCTTAACCCTTTCTCAGTCATTCCCAATTTCAAACTCCACCCCAATCCTAAGGCCAATAAAATCCTACATGAATACATAACCATAATCCTTAAACCAACTCTAGACTCAACAACCACATATGTGTGACCCTACCCTAAATTCTAAGTCCAGCCTCAATGCCTCAACTCAGCCTGATCACAAAGCAACTGATATTCTAGATTTGCCCCTCACTCAACCCTGGACCCTACAGCCACCTAACCTCCAACTCCAGTCTTAACCCTACACTCCTCCTTAATGTTGATCCCAATTTAAACTTGGCCCCTATCCTAATGTCAATGAAACTCTCAAGCGAGTCCTAAATAACCCAAACTCAGACCTCAAAACGAAGTTTAACATCACCACTAATTTGGTCTCTAGATCCAACCTCAATGCCATCTGAATCCAGGGTTACCAGCCCACCTTGGCTTTTATGCAGGTGTCCAGGGCCGAGTTGCTGACAGCCACCTGTATCTTGAGCTGCTCGGCCTCCCGCTTCTTCTCCTCCAGTTCCTTTGCCAGGTTGTCTCGCTCCTTCCGCAGGGCCGCCTTCTCCTCCAGCACCAGCTGGGTCTGCCTGGCACACTCCGCCTGGAGCTTGGCCTCCCGGGCCTGGGCTTCCCTCTCCAACTTCTCCTTGGCCTCCTGACTGGCCCGCAGGCCCTGCTCGGCCTCCAGCTTCTGGCGTTGGAGGTCCGAGTTCTCACGGGCCACACTCTTGATGTCAGCCCGCAGTCTCTGGGCCAGCTCCTCCACCTTGGTGCTCATGAGGGTAGGCAGGTGGTCACAGGCTCTCCGGATGGAGGCCATTTCTGAGCTGAAATGGTATGGGCCGTAGTTCATTGATTCGAGGGTACGTGGGATAATGGAGTCCCGCCAGAGGTTGTGCAGGTCCATCTCAACCTTGTCCTTGTTCAGTGAAAGGCAGAGGTCCTGCACCTTCTGCAGCTGACTCTCGGCCAGCTGTCGCTCCTGCCGCTGCTGCTCCCGGGCCTTGGTGCATTCAGCCAGCTGCTCTTCCACCACCCGCTTGCTCAACTGTAGACCCTCCTTGTCTTTGGTGCACATAGCCTTCTCCTTGGCCAGCTCCCCCTCTAGCATCTTGGCCTTCTGGGTCAGCATGAAGGACAAGTCTACAGGTACAGGATGATAGGACTCAGGAACGCTGGGGGCTGCCAAGGAACTGGATGGGGAGGCCACCACCCTGGCTCCCCGCTGCCCAGATCACTCACCGTTGCAGCTCTTGTTGGTCCCCTTGAGGTGTTCTTGGCATTGCTTCTCACTCAGAATAATAGCAGCCATATACCTCTGGTTGTTCATGTAGACCACCTGCTCGGGTGAGACACAGGACAAAGCTCAGAGGGGCCTATGGGCCCCCTGACCTTGGGGCTGCTCAGACTCTCAGGGCTGGGGCTCCAGATCCAGAGCCCAGGTGGCCTAGTTTGGCCCAGTTCATGAGGGCCTGGCTCCTTTATAGGGAAAGCTGGTCTGATCTTCAAAAGTCGTTACAATTAATACAATTTGGCAATAAAAAGTATGGAGGCACTGACACACACTACAATGTGGATAAATCTTGAAAACATGATGCTGAGTGACAGAAGTCAGTCACAAAAGGCCACACAGTGTCTGGTTCTATATAGATAAAATGCCTAGAATAAGCAAATCCATAAGAAACAGGAAGCAGATTCATGGTTCCCACGGGCAGGGGGAGGGAGGAATGTGGAGTGCCTGCTAATGGGGACGGGGTTTCCTTTTAGGGTGATGAAAAATATTCTAAAATTATTTGTGATGACAGCTGCACAACTCTGTGAATGTACTTTGAAAATCACTGAACTGTACACTTTAAATGGGTGAATTAGCCCTAACCAGTTTGGCTCAGTGGTTGGAGAGTCAGCCCGCGGACTGAAGGGTCCTGGGTTCGATTCCAGCCAAGAGCACATACCTCAGTTGCAGGCTCGATCCCGGGCCCTGGTCAGAGCGAGTGCGGGAGGCAACAAGTTGATGTGTCTCCCTCACATCAATGTTTCTCTCTCTCCCTCTCTCTCTCTCTCTTCCCCCGCCCCCCCCTTTCCACTCTCTGTGAAAAGGAATAGAAAAAATATCCTTAGGTGAGGATTAAAAATAATAATAAGTGGGTCAATTTTATGGCATGTGAATTAAGTTTTTACAATCCAACAAAGGCTATGACTTCCAAACTTTGAAACAAAACCCTTCGCAGAAATATAACAAAGATATGAAGAGTGCAGGGGGTTTGTCTTTCTGTCATTTCTTGTCCTTACTTCTTGTCCTTAAGAAGCTGGGCCTGTGCTAATGCCCTGGGGTTAGGGGGAGCACAGAAACAGTTCAGGAAGTTCCAGTGACTTCTGCTTTCAAAAGCCTCAGCCATAGAAGGGGAAGGGAGGCAGGTGGAGACAAAGTGAGTTGAATCCAAACATAAAGTGAGAAAGAGGTATCTTCCAGTTAGAGCAAGTGTCAAAAGGGGTCCCAGGATGACTGACCATATCCTGGTCAGGGTCCTGGTGCCTTGACATGGGTAGTGGTGGGCAGACCCTAAAAAAATCACCGAGTTCAATTTTCTTTTCTCTTCCAGGGTCTCAGGGTCAGAAATGCAGTTGCATTTGCAGAAAATTTAAGAAAAAATCATGTTTCTTAGCAGTGCCAAATTGGGGAAAGACCAAGATTCATATCCACTACCATCAGACACTGGGGCTGTTGGAGCGGGGGCTGGGGTGGGTCCAGGGGCTACCCCACAGCCATTGGCACCCCCTTCCTAGGGGGCGGGCATGGGATCCAGGATCCCCTTAAGAGAAAACCCTGAGGGGTTCAAGCCCAGAGGAATTTGTCAACTCAAAGGGGGAAAAAAAGCATGATTTTCCAATTTTAAGGTTGTGAAGATCTAGATTCTTAGATTTTTAGTCTTCTCTAACAGGGAGTCAGGATTCTGGGATAAGTGTGATTGCTCCTGGGCTGGATGGCAGTGTGTGTCCTGGATGATCGGAATTGGCTAATTCCCAGGAAGTGAGACATCTGAGGGGACCCACTCCAGCCAGGGGAGGGGGTACACAGCCTTGCCCTGGGAGTCTGAGAGAGGATAAATCCCATTCTGAGGATCTGAAGGGGGACCCGCCCTGCTCTGGAGTCTGAGAAGGGACCTGCCCCCATTCTGAAGTCAGATGGAGACCCATACATCCCTGGGGGCTGTGGGGAGACTCCCCCATTTTGGGGGTCTGAGGGGAGACCCTCTCTGCTCTGGGGGCCTGAGGGGGACCTGCTCCTTTTTGGGAGTCTAAAGGAGAAATGCCCTGCTGTGGGGTCCAAGAAGCAAAGACATGGTCCTTCCTGGAGCGGATATGGGGGAGGCCTTTCTGTCCAATGAGGGTTGGGTGGTCTGAGAATCCAGCAGAGGCTTATTCTTCCCCCTGCCCCTGCCTCCCACCCCAGCCAGCCAGGACCCTTCCGGTGGGAAAAATCAAGGCTGTCCCCACCCAGCCTCTCTCCCAACCCCAGCCAGGCCTGAGGGGGACCCCTCCTCAGTGTCTCTGGTACCAAGGCCTCCACAGATAGTGTGTGTGGTGTGTGTGTGAGGAAACATAGGCAAATTGCCCAATGAGGTTAACATGAGTGCAAGGGGGTGAAGTCTCCATGAGACCGACGTGTGCTGCTGTGACTTTCTCCTGGGAGCCACCTGCTTCTGCTCTCCCGGGAAAGCCACCTTCTCAAGCCTCCATTTCCCCATCTGCAAAGGGTTAATAATTTCTCTCTACCTCTTGGCTTCAATGATGAGATAATATTTCTGAAGCGGACACCAGCATAAGGCAAATAGAAGCCATCGATACTTATTACTAAGCCAGAACCTAACTTTCTGGGGTTTTATTTAGTCAGTTCTTATTTGCAGCTGGCGTGTTCTGGGTGCTTTATGCATATTAAGTCATGGGCCCAGGGTTGAGGTTCAGTTACACTTGAATTCTGGATAGAAAACAAATACTTAAAAAAAATTTTTTTTTTTAAATCCTCAACTGAGGGTATTTTTTCCATTGATTTCTAGAGAGAGTAGAAGGGAGGGAGGAGAGGGAGAGATATATCAACACGAGAGAGACACTTTGATTAGTTGCCTCCCACATGCACCCGGACCAGTCCAGGAAACCTGCAATGGAGGAACATGCCCTTGACCAGGAATCGAGCCCTCAACACTTTGGTCCATGGACTGACCCTCTAACCAGTGAGCCAAACCAGCCAGGGTGAATATTTTAATTTTTTAGTATAAATATATCCAAAATATCGCAAGGGATATACTTATACAAACAAAATTCGCATTGCTGATCTACTAGGGCTCCTCATGCAAAATGTAGGGTCTGTGACTCCCATCTCATGGATAGGGAAACTGAAGCTCAGAGAGGTGAACTGACTTTCCTGGGGTCACCAGGGCCAGCGTTGGGCCCTTGGCCTTACCCGTTCAGCCTGGCACTGGCGGAAGCTGGCATTGATCAGGTCCAGGTCTCGGCGGGCGTTCAGCAGCATCTGCATGATGGTATTCTTGGCACGGGTGGTGAGGTTGAGCTCCTTGGACAGGTTGGCCTGGCTGACCGTGAGCCCCATGACCTGGCTGTACAGGTCCTCAGCGCGGCGCTTGGTGTCCTGCAGGTTGGACTCCGTGCTCACGTGCACGTTGCCGTAGACCATGAAGAGGACCAGGCCCAGGATGATGAGGAACTGGATGACTGAGACAAAGAAGAAGAAGTAGCGCAGGTAATACCAGCAGCCGCGAGGGCTGCCCCCTGCCCGCGAGTAGGCCCCGCCGTGCTCCGTGGCCAGGCCCATCTCCCCAGGTCGCCCGGTGCACTGGTGCTGCTCAGCTCACTGGTCTGCTCTGGGTGGTGGCTGTGCCCTTTCTGGACCCTGCCGCCCACAGGGGGGAGTGTTTATATTACTCTTCTTAATACTTCCTCTGCCTGGCTCCTTCCTGGCCTGGAGGAAACAGGGGGTGGTGGGTTATCTCAACACTCCAACCCAGGCTGTGAAGGGAAGGCGGGGCAGGGGGTTGGGG